GTGAGTAACCTGCAAATTTTTCACTTTTTATATCATCATTGCAGCTAGATGCTAATGTATTTTTTCTTTCTCTTTTTTTTCACCCTTATTTCCTACATATATATTTGACCCATCCTAATTACCCCTCATGCAATATTTCTTACTGATAATATGCATGGTTCCTCTGTGCATGTTTTTCCTTTGCAACACTAATATTCATGGGATCTATGTTTTATTCTTTTCATCTTTTTTTCTTTTTTCATTTTTCTTTTTAACGAATGGCTTGTGCACTCGTCTAACATATGTTCGGCTTCCACTTTAATGTTCTGCATGATAACTGCACTCTTGCATCTGGCATGTACTAAATGATACTTCATTATGCTCTTTATACAAATAACCCTCTTTGTTGATTGCATGTACTGATTTCCATGATTAATCAAACTGTGATTATGTTCCTTGTTGCAAATGCCTTATTGATATTCTGCAACTGTTTCCCCTTTGATGTTTACTCATCTTGCAACTATTATACCAAACACCTTTAACAAATGAACCCATTGACTGATCTTTACCACTGAAACAACAACGTGTGATGACTGTCTCCTGGTGCTTGTTTCTTTGTTTACTTGGGTATTAATGGCTTCCAAACTTCCAAACACTTGACTGCTGCCTCTCCCTCTAACCTTTTGGTACCTCCTACAAAACCATTTATTTGGTACCTCACCAAACCTTGTTTTACTTTTATTTGTAATGGTATCAAACACTATTAACCCTCTCCAATACCACACTTTGTCATTATGTGAACCCTCTTGATTTTCAATTGTCCATTACATGTATCCTACATGAAACCTGTTTCCTTGTTCCTGCAAATAACATCTGTCCATTGTGATCAACATTTTGTAAAGTCTTCTTCATATGTCTTGGGTTTATTTGGTTTTTGTTCTACACTGCCAATTGTCTCCTTAACCCTCTTGCCTTCTTCCTTACCCTCTCTGTTATCTTTGTGTTTTGCCTATCTCTGTCGTCTTGAAACTCCCTACCTTGGAAACCCTACCCTCCCTATCCTTCATCCTCTGCGGCATCCCACACAATCCTTCCCCCACATCCCCGCCACAACTACAGGGTGAACTGATGAATAGAATTGAGAATCACGTTCAGGAAGCACAGGACTATGTGGACACTGCCAAACAGGATACTAAGAAAGCCATCAGATACCAAAGCAGAGCGAGGCGGGTAAGTAACACGACTAAAAATGATATTAACATGGGTGTTGAACAGCTGCTGTGGCTGGGTCGCTTGGTGATTGTAATCGCTTGAACTATCTTCGTTTCCTCGTTTCCTTTAGGTGTGTTCAATTGGTGTTGTCATTATGTCCACATTATTCTGATTCATCTTTTGGGGCCCTTTTTTAGTTGTAGATGTGACTCGATCAGTGATTTAGCTGTCTAGGAATCACTGTTTGTGATTTGGTCTCTGATTTGTTGTAGATAGAAAATAACAGCTTCAGTGACATGTCTGATAAAATTTGAAGACAATTAGGCGAATCTTAAATAAAACTGTGATGTTGCCTGTTTCATATGATGTAGAAGAAATTTGTCAGTCTAATCTGCAGATAATTTGAAGGGCAGATTATTTTAATTGCTTGGGTTACCATCAGTACAGAAATCTTCTCTAGCCTCAGTAGCACCGTAAGCAAGAAACTGATCCTGACACATGCATAAATAGCAGATTCAGTAGTTTTTCTTGAGTTGTATTGAAAAGGTAGTTCAGTTGAGTTCAGTTCTTTGTTGCTGGTAGTTTTATCTTTTTATTGTTAACAAAACGATGAACAAGACGCATCACATATTTATTTGTTTTCATTTCCAGTTCTTTTTATTTTATAGAGAAGCTTTATGCAACAATAGCCTTTCAAGCAGACAGAGATTTGAAAATTGAAAGTTGCTAGATGATTCATTAGCTGCCATAGTCCATATATGTTGTGTTCATTAGCAAAAGGTAATATATGTTAGATGGGATAGTATATAATTAGTGATGAGAAGGGGGAATATACCGCCTGTTGCTGTGCATTTCACACACTGTAGCTGCTGCGTTGAATGATGCTCATAGATCAATGCCCTTTTGTCATTCCATACTTACATGATTGCTGTTTTGGGGTCTCTTGCCAATTCCTTGGAATTGTAAGGGAAAATGGTAGCGTAAGGACTGGCCAGGGATTATCACAGGTCCACGTTATGTTAGCAGATGTGAGGTAAATGGCACATGCAACAGAAGGTTCTTGTGTAGGTTATTAGATATCATGAATCTACTTTCTTTTCAGGTCCATATTGTGCAGTAACTGTCATTTTCACGTACCTTTGTGAAGCTTTGTCGGATTTTGAAGGCGTTCATTATTAAATTTTTACCCCCCCCTTTTTTTTTTCATTTTTTAGTGATGATGATATTTGATTCTTTTGGGAGACTATTTCTGTGCTTTTTAGATTACACTTTGTCCATGGTCCTATACCAGGTAATTCCAAGTCGTTCATGTTGTGAAGTCTGTTTTATGCAATTGTTTCTCGTAGGTGAAGTTGCTGCTTTGTTTTGTTTCCAGCTTTTCTGTACTGTAGCATTGCTTGTTTAGCTCATATATCTATAGATATATTCCGTCTGTTCAAAGTTGTGTTTTGTTTTTTGTGACATTAATTAGACATTAGACATTCTTGGATGGGAGGGTTAGTGGATTTAGTTTCCTTGAAGGCAGATTTGAGAGAAAATAGTTTTGTGTGGCTTATTAGTAGACAATTTTCAGTTCAGAGATTTTTTTTTCTTTCTTTCTTTCTTTCTTTCTTTTTGTGTGTGTATTCATTGTTGTGGCTGACACATTCATATGATTACTGTCATTAATCATGTGACTGTTTTTTGATATGCCAACAAGTTATATGAGACCATTTCTCATGGCTTACTTTCAGCTGGTTTTGTTTTACCAGCTGAATGAAAGAGAAAAAAAGTGACGGAGTTTAAGGTTTTAATTTTTCTTTTGCTTTTGTATTGTTGGCTAATTATCATAAGATTGATATTTGATTTTAAAGAAATTGGTTCATAAGGATCCAGTGAGGTTAATATCAGTCAAAAGATCGAGAAGAAGTGATATATCAGTGATATTGGTTTAGGAATATTGAGTAAGTAAAACTAGATATCAATTAATCAGCTGAGTATGTAATAAAGATTCATCATTTTTTTACCCTTAGTTAATTTGATTTATGCTAATGAGTCAAAGTAGATTCCTGTTTCTTTGAATTTTATATAGGTATGTATCTATTTTGAAGGCTATTATTACATCAGAAGACCTGGTATATTAGTCAGATTTTCTTTTGTCATTTTATTATAGAATATAGTTAGTTTTGCATCATGTTCAGTATTTTTTTTGTAATTCCCTTTTTTCTTTTTCTTTCCACAGAAGAAAATTATGATCATCATATGTATTATAGTTTGCTTACTAGTTCTTGCTCTTGTCTTAGGGGTGACTTTAACATAGTAGAGCCGGTAGAATGGTAGTGAATGCTGGTGGACTGCCCGGATAGAGTTTTAAATGAATGTTGTTAAATTGCGGCATGAGAGGCCGTAGGCCAGAGGTCTTTTTTTGATATTCTTATATGGGAAGTGATTTAGTATGTTAGAAAGATTAAAGATGAAGTCCTATGATTTCACCAGTACCCAGATTTTTATTATTATTATTATTATTATTATTATTATTATCATCATCATTAGAGTTGTTTCATTTCCAATGAAGAATAATGATGGCGAAAAAGGCAGTGTGAGACATTAGAAAAAAAAATTATATTTATGTATATATATATATATATATATATATATATATATATATATATATATATATATATATATATATATATATATATATATATATATATATATATATATATATATATATATATATATGTATGTATATGTATATTTATATATATATATATGTATGTATATTTATATATATATATATATGTATATATATATATGTATATATATATATATGTATATATATATATATATATATATATATATATATATATATATGTATATATATATGTATATATATATGTATATATATATATATATATATGTATATATATATATATATATATATATGTATATATATATATATATATGTATATATATATATATATATGTATATATATATATATGTATATATATATATATATATATATATATATATATATATATATATATATATATATATATATATATATTTATATATATATATATATATATTCAAGGACTGAAGTTGTTGGAGGAGTTTTGGTTAGTTTGATCATTATTAACTGTGATGTATATTCTTGTTGAAAGATTTTTCAGTTACTTAGGAATTATAGTTTCCCATTGTAAGTGATACTTGAGAATATTGTTGGAGATCAATTGCAATTGTTAAAGAAGAGTTATGTAAAGATAAGTTTTAGTTCCTCCCTTGTATTTAGCTTTTTAATTTATGACAACTTGTCCGAGGGTAGTCTTAAAGACATATGATATAAACTGAAGCTACTGTCATGGTAAGGGCACAGCATAGGTTTACATTAGGTCATAGTATGTGCCAAATATAGTGTCAAGGATTATAGGCTCAATATCATGCAAAGTAAAAAAAAAAAAAGAAAAAAAGGGCATAATAGGTACAGTATTAGTAAAAGACATGTAAATGTAATTTTAATGTGTAAAGTTAATGGAGCTGCGCACGTCTAGTCGAAGTAGAGAAGGCGATAGAAATGTGGATTTTGTTTGCAGTTGATAAAGCCAATGATGTGTCATAGAAGCTGAGTGCAGATTAGTCTTTAATGAGGTTGTGTAGCATGAAGCTAAGTTTTAGAAAGGATGCAAATATTCTAAGTTGCCTGGCTGAAGCTCCAACGCTTTGGCTGTTGTTCCATATGAATGGAGATACTTCAGACTATTTATTAGTGCTGAGTTCATTTCAGACCTTATTCTTTTCCTTCATAGAGGTGTCAGATATCACAGTTTAT